TTTTTTTTTTTTTTTTTTTGTAAACGTTCTGATGATTTCAAATAATTTCTCAAAATGGTATGTTAAAATAGTATTCATTTTGGTACATTGTTTTAAAGGATTGTGTTATTGCTTCTTGTATTTTTCTTTTTTTTTATAGTTCCTCCGTCACTGCGTGGCGGAAATTTTAAACCCGTTCAGAAGAAAACGAACTGGCTTCGCAAGCGTTTAAAGTCTGATCGGCCTGGAGAACAGAAGTACAAAAGAAAAATGGAAGACCCGTTACAAAGTTTTTCCGTCTGATGTTTAAAACTGTTCTTGTTCTTGTTATCTTTTTCTGTTGCGTTTTTTTACTGTTGTAAGTAAACAAATTTTTATAAAAGCCTAAGTAGCGAGAAGGTTTCTAAAAATCATTTGTCATTCAGACGTTGTGATACTTTGTTGCTGTTTCAGTATATGATTATTTTAGCATTGTCGAAATGTTTCAATTTTAAACTTTGTTAATTCTCTTCTGTTAGCGGTTGGAAATGTTTTAATGATTTTGCTCCTTGTCATGGACATGATCTTTAGAATCTTTCCAAGTTTTTTTTACTTTGATTTCAAGCTAAAGCTTCTACTTTTCTGTTGTTATCATGGATTGACAGTGGTTCATACGCTGCCGGTACGGAACTTTGTTCTAATTATGCAATCCATAAGTCACTTTCCTGTTTCTCTGTGATTCCACCTGAGAAATTTGTTTATTTTCGTTTCTTTCCTCATGCTGAGATTCTCTAGTGAACTAGCAGTTTAAAGGAGTCTTTCCGGTTAGGTTTATGAATCATTGTGTTTGGTGGACCATATGAGTAGTTGAATATTGACATCAAGGATGTTCTTGGCAGCTTTTAATCATGATTCAGCTATAAGCCAAATTACTTTTTTTAAACCAACATTGGGATAGAGCGTTCAGGAAAGAACCTTGCACGTTGCTTCCGTTACCTCTGAGGAAGTAAAGTGTTTTGTTCTTTCCATCATCTAAGCCTCAGAACAAATAAAGGTGACGGAAGATTTGCTTGCTGGTGTTCTATGTGGTTCAGAAATGAAGAGTTACCAGAATGTGAGTGACGCCGATATTGAGTACCGTCTTTGGAAAAGAGTTGTTTGATGCTTTTTGGTTGTTTGATTTTCGTATAGGACAACTGATTTGAGCACGTATCTTTTAGAACTCGGGGGATTCAAACAGTTATGCGGCACCAATGTGTCGCATTCACTGACGCACCACTGGTAGAGTTCGTCTCACTTGCGGCTTTTTGATTTGTGATTTTCTGCAAAACCGCGGCTGTTAGCGTGTAAACACTTGCTGAGC